GTTAATGACGAATTCGTCTTGCGACACGCACCTCTCGTACATGCACTCGACCATTTCGACCACTTGCTCACGGTCTAGGTGACGGAGGAAATCGTTCTGTAGAATGGCGTTGCGAATCAGCTGTTTCGACCTGAAACCCTAGGGTATACCGACGGCAGCACAGAAAAGAAGCGGAAAACAAAAGTTAAAGACTTACTGAGCACTTTTCGGGTGATGCACAAGGGCAACCTTGTCCTGACGATAGGTGTCCGGTTCGGCCGAAACACCCTGCTTCTTGTTAAAGTTCATCGCTTGGCCGACCATCGTCGCTTGCATCTGCAACTCGGCGCGTAACTCGTCACTTGACTTGCCCTTCTTCTCTTCTGCGTCATTAGCCTTGATGTCGAGCACTGACCGAAGTTTGTCGCATGCCGACTGCAAATCAAACCGAAGCGTTTAAAAGTGCAAAGATTTCATTGCTTCAGCAGCACTGTCAAAAAAAAACTTGCTTTACGGCATGAACAGCAACAAAACTGTATGCAATGCAATTATTTCTCGCGGCAACATGGAAGACAATCCATTGCTGTATGAATGCCTCGCGAAGACTTCGCCATAAAGTTCTTCTGTTTTCTGCCGTTCTCAACAATCTTGATCCAGAAAACTTTTACAGCTCATCCTGCCATCGACCTAGAGGTCTTCCTACAGGCTGTTTACTGCCCCCTCGGAAGGTAGTATAATGTCTTTCCGCTTCAGCGGTAGCCGTTTGTTCTTGCAACGTGTCCAGCGCATTGTTACTAACTTCTTCACTCGAGAATTTGCATTACAGACTTTCACTGTTGGTGCTCTTCATTCGTCTTCTGATCGTTTCTTGCTATTCCCAACATACATTTTTCCACGTAGCGTTGCGTTGTCTGCAGCTATTCATGAATAGCTTTCAGGAACAGGGCCCAGGTTTCACACCCATAGTCAAGCAGTGTGAGCACGCTGATCGAAAATTTTTTTCCAAATGCAGGAGGAGTTTCCGAATACGAATATTTTCTGCATTCTGAAAGTACTCCATACCATTTTTATTTTTCTGTTGATTTCACATAGTCGATTCTCCGATACACAAATGAACTGCCCCAGACAGAAGTAGTTTTGCACTTCTTCAAGCATAAGACTGTTGAATTCCATAGGTCACGCGATCACGTATTTATTAAACAAGACTTGAGTCTCCCGCAGGCGCATTTTCAGTCCTACCTTGACGCTGGTGCTGTTCAGCTGTTGGATTCTTCTTTTGAGTCCTCTTGATGAAATGGAGAAGATTAGAATGTCAGCCACAAACTGCAGGTAGCTTAAATAGTATTTATTTATGTTAAACCACTGATTTTCCTAATGAAGTGTCTAGAAAACATCTTCTAGTGCTGCAGTGAAAAACTTCGGTGTCCGACAGTTTGAAAATGCAGCTAAATTTCCCCTACGCTGTGCTGTGCTCGACATTGACCCATCATCTGGCATGCGACTCGGCAAACGCATCTTGCAAGTCCCTCCTCTGACATCCTGCCCATTGCAATGGTGATCAGTCGACCAACCAAAAAAGTGGCTCACAAGCGAGTGTACCTCGAACCCTGTCCAGTTCGGCTTTATCACAACACTCACATGTGAAAGAGACCACGAAAGCTCTCCCCAAAAAATGAGCCTCATATCCATAAAGTTGGGTAAACCGCATGATGCACTGCCACTAAGTTATTTCCTTCGAGAACGACTTTAAACGGGCAATCAAATTTTAAGGTTAGTTAACCCCAAGGTTAATCGCAACTTATCCTTTCTCATATACTGATTTGCTAGAGTACCCTACTCGTGGCTTGGTGGCCATATGACACAGAGTATACAACGGTTTGATTATACCAAACGAAAAAGGGTTAGGTTTTATGGCTCGACAGACATCGGTCAATGATCTCATGTCTTTCGCTGCAGAAAGACACAGTATTCCAAGCGTTCAGATGATCATCTGCAAGCACCTTCCCGCGTTGAGGCCTCGCTATGTAACAGTACTGCTGAAGTTAAGGCTGCTGCTCGATTTTAGTTATTTGCTTGCTGGTTACTGGATGTTTTCTCTATCAATTGTCTAGGATAACCACTATTTCTGAGAGTTCTCTGGATGTAGGTCAATTGCATCCGTAAAGCTGCTATAAACAGTGGCAACTGTAGTCCACTAATAGATGAAACAATAAGCAACCAGCAAAAGAAGAGTAGCAAAGTAAGCATTAGATTAGGAAATTGCATCGATTACCTAACAAGTCAGTATCAATGAAAGTGATAAGCATATGTAACAAAAAAATTTTCACCGTTTGGGCGACAGTGCTGCTATCGTTACAAAATTCCAACCTAGTGTTTTCGTGATATGAAAAAAAGTAGACCAGGAACTGAAACACTTCCTTGAACGCCAAGCCGTTACGTATGACGCTACATACCGGCAGACGCTTCAGTTCTACTGACCCTTTATGAAGTGGTGAAATGGCTTATTCACCTGCTGTTGAAGTATGGCAGGCGTCTGGTTCCGGTACGGATTTGACCTCACTACGATTCCATTACTGATTTGGCCCTAAGTTAATTTTGGGGCAGCGCAGTCAGCGTAACCTCATCCTACAGTCGAAAGTTCGAGGTTTCAATTCCACGACAAGAAAACTGGTCCTATGAGTAAATGAGTGCCACTGCGTAAGATGGAAATAGAGAGTACGTGACGTAGTGGTAATCAAGCTGTAGACCGTTTCGAAAAGACATTGTACTCATGACAGGAGCAATCGTGACGGATATGAACGTCGCACCATAAACAACGTGGCAAAAAGGCATTACAAATTATGAAA